GAGAATGTAGTTCTTTTGTCCCTGCATCTTACTAATGCACATGCCACAACATACAGGTGGACATCAGAGAACAACTTCTGGGAGTCAGTGCTCTCTTGCCACCATGTGGGTTCCAGATAGCAAACCAAAGCTGTCAGGTGTGGCAGCAAACACCATCTTGCTAGTCCTCAAAGCAATGCTTTCGACCTAGGCATGTTGCATTTCCTCAAAAAAAGCAAAACACTCAAGAAATCTCTTCACCGAATCCCGATTACTATTTAAACTTCATACTGATGCATTATTTTCTCTGCCCTGTATAATAAAATTATATTAACCCATTACTTTAAAGTGACTTTTCCTTGACCTTGTTCTCTACTCATAAAGTCAATGACAGTATGAAACAAACACCCAAACACCACCTTACTGCCTTCTCCAGGGTGCTCAGCTGTCTGCCACAGCAGCTGACCAGTTCTCTACCTACACTCTGAAACAAGGGAGGCCTGGTTTCCAGGAAGAAAAGATAGCATGCACTCAGAGGATGGCCCATGAGTTCATCTGTGATGCAATGAGGCAGAAAATTGGGAGGCACATTTAGGAATGGTTAGCATTCTGACCTGGGAAGTCCAGTGCAATCATGAGTCTGTGGTCAGCTGGAAATGAAAAATCAAACCATTCTGTCCATCTGCTAAAGAACTGAAAGCTGTTTGTGCAGCCCTGAACCCAAGTACCTGGCACACGGCTGGACTGTAGTAATCTAGCAATGGCTTGATCCCTCTTGTTAATTTCCTTACTATTCTAGCAAACTCTACAGCATAAAATATTTTTAATGTAAAAACTCACAAGCTACCCACTTGCCCCCAACACCAAACAAAGCTTTTGTGCAGAAAATCGAAGTCAGCTGTCTCCTACTCCAGTTTCACGAACCAGTAATCCATTCCCAAAAAAGAAAAGCAAGTTCTAGATTTTGCAAGATGGGCCAAAGAGGCATATATTGAACCACTGCAGTTAATATGGAGTTCTGCCTGGTCCACATTCTAAGAATTTTGCCAAAGTTGCCCATACATTTGCTGGTTTGGGCCTTTATCCATCTCTTCATGCTAAGATGGCTTAAAGGCTTTGGCCTCCTGCCTAACTCCACAGTTAGCACATACCAGTGATGAGCATGGGACTCTTTGGTGGCCTTTTTATAAGCACAGTGCCACTGAAGCCCCCACAACCCAAATGAATACTGAGCCTCCCCCCCTTAGGAATTTAACCTAGCCTCTACCACTGGCCTTGAACTTACTTTGTAGCTCAATCAGGCCTTGAACTTTCAGTCAGTCTTCCTGCCTCAGTCTCCTGAGTAGCTGGGATTACAGGCCTGGTGCCTCTCTTCAAGATAATGACAGCAGGAGGGGAAAAAACAAAACAAAACATTGTTAAGCCACACAACTAAGAGCAGTGGAGTGGAACTAACTCCACCCAGGACCTCTGGCTTTGAGTTTACTATCTCCTTTTTGAGACAACCCTCAGGAACTAACAATGCTTGCTGATGGGTAGGTTGCTTCCTTGTACATCAGCTGACTCATTTCTGTCTTCCTCTTGCTTCCTTAAGTACCAATGTCTCCACTTAAAATAGAGAAATATGAAGCCAGGTGTTGGTGGCGCACACCTTTGATCCAAGCACTCAGGAGGCAGAGGCAGGCAGATCTCTGTTTGAGGCCAGCCTGGTCTATGGAGTGAGTTCCAAGACAGGCAGGGATACAAAGAGAAACCCTGTCTTCAAAAACAAACAAACAAATACAAAGCAAAAATAATAAAATAGGGCTGGAGAGATGGCTCAGAGGTTAAGAGCACCGACTGCTCTTCCAGAGGTCCTGAGTTCAATTCCCAGCAACCACATGGTGGCTCACAACCACATGTAATGAGATCTAGTGCCCTTTTCTGAGCTGAATGTTGTATACATAATAAATTTAAAAAATAATAATAAAAATAGAGCCATTTGGGCTTTTCCCCCTCATTCTGAAGGAAAGCTACTGGTCTGTCCTAATATATATGCATGCATATGCACATCTACCACTCTCCTACTGTGTATACACACATCTACTAGTCTGTCTGTGTGTGTGTGTGTGTGTGTGTGTGTGTGCGTGTGTGCGTGCGCGCGCGCGCGCGCGCGCGCTGTGGGGGGGAGGCGCAGCAGCATGTACATCCCTTCTCTCACTTTATCAACCAAATCACAACCCCTCCTGCCTTGCCATGTTGACTCTAAGTGTGAGAAGACTTCAGTTACTGCAGCAAGGAAAGGGAATCCCAATCCCATCTTCCCAGTAGGCAGAGGTGAGGCTGGGTATTGGGTTTCCTTCCTGCTTGTCTCAGCAAAGTGGCCCAGGTCCTGTTTTCCCAGAGCCATGCCCTGGACATTGGCCAGTTTCTGGCCTTACTGGTGTCAGGAAGGCAACACTGAGAAAGCCTGAGTTCTCCTTCCCTTCAGAGCCCTTCGGATTCCTGGTTTAGATTTTAGGAATGGTGTTTCTCCAAACAATTCCTTTCATGTGAAATCCTGAGATAAGGGTTTTTTTTAAATCAGTAGACCCTGCCCCTAGTCCATTCAAATGAAAGCTAGATCTCAGTCACCACCCAATCCCAGTGGAAAGACCTAGGAGAGTGGTTGGTGTCATATCAAAAGAGAAAATGGTGTCTTCCCCCTTCCCCATTTTATAATCCATAGCCAAGCTGCTATGGATTTCAAAAGCCACTACCGCTTGATCTACTATGCTCGGACATCTTGGGTTTCACTGTGGTTCTCCTACGAGAGAACATGTGCCCTCAAATCTTCCGTAGGACTCCTCCCTGATGCTGTGGTTCCGTGCTGGTAGCACCACCCAAACTTATACTGCTGAATCTATCTGCTTTAAGGAAATAGAGGGCAGAGGTACCCTATGGGGGTGATGGCTGGACAAGGAGCAGAAAAGCCCAGGAGGCCTGTGCTGGATTATAGGTGTTGCTATTCTTGCTTCTCCCTCTCCCCAGGTCCTGGGCAAACTGGCCCCGTTGCTGCTCCTTTCCTTCTCCTGCCTGTGGTTTCTCCTCAGCACCCGCATGTCACTCCCTGCCAGCCCTCTCCTGGGTCTGGGCCTTCTCCTTAGGGAATCTTTGGGGGGAGGGGGGAAGCTCTGTAATCCTCAGGCTCTCTCCTCGCCCAGGACCCAACATCCATCTTTGACACGTGATCCCTCCTGGCTGACAGCTGTCAAAGGTTGCATGGCTGCATTGTGCATGTATTAGGTAGAAACCATGTAGAAACTCTGCATGTAGAAACCATGTGATACTGGGCCCATACAGAGCTGGGCCAACAGCAGCTCCATGACTCCAGTTTCAAAGGCCCCAACTGCTGAGACTCATTCTAAAACTTTCCGTTCCCTATATAAGCAAGTGCCTCCTGCCTGTTCTCTTCTTTCCATTTCTGCTCCCCTCCCTATGCTCCCTTTCCCATGTGTGTTTCTTGAGTTTGGTGGATCCTGTTTCATCGCCCGAAGCTGCAGCAAACAATAGGGGCCCCAACAACAGCACAATGTCCACTAAAAGCTCTTATGGCCTCTCACTTCACGGGTTATTTCCAGGCAAGCTAAGATATCTGCAATTTACCTTAAAGAGCAGTTTGGGGCAGAACAATCCTTTGTACAGGACAGTCCTTTAATGATTTCTTCAATCTGTCTCCCTCTTTTGGGATGCTTGGGAGCAAGGCCTATGTCCTTTCTGGGCCCTCAGCCTAATGCCTAGGTCCATAGCAGGCATAGTCTCACTTAGTAAACATCAGTGGCATGAAGAACTAAGTTCAAAATCACTCTGTAAGCTATGTAGAAACACATCACTTTTCTGTCCCCATACCTGCCATTAACAGTAATAAACAATCACAGTGTCTTTTTAATTCAGAATATTGGGTGGATGTTCCAAAGTGATTGGGAACAGCACAAGAAACGAGTTCTTGCCTTTGCCATGGTAACTAACCAAAACTAACTAATCTTGGGGATGGCACTCTTTCCATCATCTGAAGAAGTGGAGTGTCAGCTCCCGTCAAGGGTTCTTGGTTTAGAATCTACCTAAAAATAGGCCTACAGGTAGAGGAGTTAAGGAACTCCTTGAACATTTGAGAATGCTTCCAAACTCAAGTCTGCGTGCATTCTGTGGAGTGAGAGACAAGAACTTTTCATCAGGATGGGTCTCTCCTGGTACGTGTTCTTTGAACGGGATGGAGACAAAGATGGGGGGGGGGGAGCAGCAGCGATGGCTGGTACCCAACCCACACACTGCATGTCCCAGTGAAATGGACTTTGTCAAAGGAACTTTGGCATGACCACAGAGATGATTCAGCAGATGTCTGGACTCTGGCTCAGGGGGCAGAACCAAGTTTAAAGCCAGAGGTACACAGAATGCTCCAGGGAAGTGACACAGAGTTGGACTAAGGAAGATAAGTGATAGGCTATGTACCCAGTTAAAGTGCATTGTGCACTGACTGAATCCTGGATCCTCTCGTGAAAAAAATAATAATTCTGCGAGGGGATATTACCGGGATTAAGTTGAATTTCACTGCTTTTAAGTGCCGCCTTGCCACCCTTTTCTGCCCTGCAAGGTCTACCCGGAGATCTGAGTAGATCTGAATCCTGGCAGTCTCCCTCTGAAGAGCAATAATAGCAAGAGCGTGAATTTGCAGCTAGCGAGGGAGACCAGACGAAGGCTTGACTTGTTTTCAACGGTCCAGGGCACAGGCCACGTGCCAGGCACGGGGCTGAGTTCCGGGAGCACGCGACCAGAACTCTCCCAGGAGACAGATAACGGCCTGCTAACTGCTACCCCACCCCCACCCCCCGGTAACCAGCTAAGATCTGGGTAAACAGGGGGCAGCCGGGGTGCTTGGTACGGCAAACGGCTCGGTCCTGTGAGCGACAGGAACTTGGGAGTGGGGACCACTGCTGGGCTTGCAGAGGCGTGAGGCAGGGCTGGGTGGGTGGCTGCCTGGTTTCCCACCCTCCTTCCCCTTTTACCAAGCGAATGTCCCCAGGTCCGTGCACCACCAGGGACAGGTTCTCGGCCTTAGCTGGAGCTGCCATGTTGCCTTCTTGCTCCGGGGTGTCTGCTGGACTCGGCGGCGAGGTGGTTCTAAAGGTCCCACCGTCAAGGGTCTGGCAGGGGCGTGCCCTGGATCAGGCTGCGCGCGGCCCCGAGGCGGGGCCTGCTCCTGCTGGAAAGCTTGGGGGCGGAGTTTCTGAGGGGCGGGGCTTTGTGCAGACTCAGCAGCCCTGAGGCAGGAAAGCGGCCTACAGAAAGAAGCCACTTCGGGTCTGTGGCTGCAGAAGCCTGTGGTGCCTCATCTAAGGCTAGCTAGCACCTCAAACAGCAAGTTTAGGAATGAGGTGCTGCCCGGGTGTTTTGTGTTATTAACTAGAACAGTGCCGCTGCAGGAAGGACGCCGAATGCACTCTGAGAAACCCGCTCTGCGCTGCAACCTCTGGTTTCCATCCTGCAAAGCGCATAACACTAACAAGAACGAAAGAAGGCATGCAGTTGCCACAGGGCCCTGATGCATTTGCATAAAGATGCTGTAGGGCAGGATTTGCAAGCCTTCTCTTCAAAGGCTTTCTTGCTTTCCTTTGGCAGGCGGACTTCAGCCCAGATTCTGCCTTTAGTGCCTCTCCAGTCAGGACAAACAGGTTTTCACTCTAGCGATGGAGCTTGCTGCCTCTCACTTTACATGTCAGTACTGGGGTTTTCTTTCTCCCTTGATTTTGTTTTTCGAGTCAGGGTCTCTCTGTGGAGCCTTGGCTGTCCTGGAACTCACTATGTAGACCATGCTGGCCTCGAACTCACAGACACCCACCTGCCTCTGCCTCCCAAGTGTTAGGATTAAAGACACGTGCAACCACCACGACGACCCACGACCCCCGGTGATGCCATCATTCCTTCACTATCCCTACTACTCATCCTGTAATCTCCAGATTTGCACCCCAGCTCCCGGCTCTTGACATCTCCATGCCACAGTGGAGCACAGCTTTAAATGCTTTAGCCGCAGCCGTTCCTTAGATGGATGCACATAGAGGACCCACTGAGGCCAAAGTTTTATTTCTTGACTAGAACATAGTGAGATGTTTGGCACAGCACAGGAGCTTAAAACAAAGTTGTGATGAAGATGGCTGTCAATGTCAGAAAGGGGAACCGAAGCGAGGTGGAGCAAGTAGAAGTTGGTGCAAGGCTTCATAACACAACCAGGTGGATTTTTTAACTTTAAAAACTTATTCTAAGCCTGGTGGTGGTGGTGCACGCCTTTAATCCCAGCACTGGGGAGGCAGAGGCAGGTGGATCTCTGAGTTCGAGACCAGCCTGGTCTACAAGCGCTAGTTCCAGGACAGCCTCCAAAGCCACAGAGAAACCCTGTCTCGAACCCCCCCCCCAAAAAAATTCTATGATTTTATGTGCCTGCATGTATGTATGTGCTCAATGAGGTTGCATGGTGTTCCTAGAAGTCATAATAGGACATTGGATCCCCTGGATCTGGAGTTACTGATGGCTGTGAACTGCCACGTAGCTGCTGGAAATTAAACCCAGGTCCTCTGCAAGAGCAGCATGTGCTCTTAAGGACTGAGCCACCCCGAATGGATTTTTAAAATGAGTATTTGAACTGAAAACCAAACAAATTTCTAATTACATTTCTCACCCCAAAACTACAAACTGAGTTACCCAGCTGAGATTCAAAGCTTAGATTTAAAAAAAAAAAAAAATGAAAAGAGTTCTCAGATCCTTGTTACACACTGCTAATCAATGGCAGCCATGCTCCTCAACTTTGGGAGCACAGCCCAACATCTTCCTTTGGAACATTAACTCCGAGGTGCTTTCTTTCAATGCATGAATAAAGATACTAAGCTAATTCTGCCTCAGAAAATTTTGTAAGTAGTTTGATTTACAAAGTCTGCTTTTAAAAGCACAGTCAAAGGGTCAATAAACTAGACAGAAATCATTTTCTTAGAAGAGAAGGAAGAGGAAGAGGAGAAGGAGGAGGAGGAGGAGGAAGCTCCAAATGCCACTTTGTAATTTTATACATAATTAAGAACAAACGGGGCTGGCTACGGTAACCCACACTTTTAATCCCAGCACTCAGGAGGCAGAGGCAAGCAGAGCTCTGTGAGTTCGAGTGCCAGGATAGGCTCCAAAACTACACAGAGAAACCCTGTCTCGAAAAAAAAGAACAAACGGACTCATTCACATCAGAAGAGACCAAGTCACAGGTGTGGAATCTGTACTCCAGCTACACACTGACATGTTCTTCTAATTGAGTGGACTGCTGAGGGGCTTTTCTCTCCTGTCTGTAGCATTAACAGTTACATAAGCAGCAGCTGGTGTTAGCGCAATCCCACAGTGCTATAGTGACAGGCACATGCTGTTTCACACCGATGCTTCTCAGTGTGCAGTCAGGCTTCCTCCTCTTTGAGTGAAGTTTTTTTTGTTTTGTTTTGTTTTGTTTTTTCATAGTAACAGATTTGCAACTTGGGGGAGTATTCCTCGTCAAACTATCTTCAACTATCTCTCCATTAGACTGCACAAAGAAAGGCCCATACGAGAGAGGGTGGCATCCACACTAAGGCCACTAATGAGATGGATTTCTGCGTAGAACAGCCTACTCAGTGGATTGTGTTCTTGCTTTGACACACCTTCCACAAGGCTTAGCTGTGCTTGGCTGTCTCTTCAGATTCTCTTGCAGCTAAGCAGACCCCACTTTGCTTAGTTTGCAGACTTTAGCATCTGCCATCACACTCTCACTGAACTAAAACCCAGGTTGGAGTTTCCTCAGTTCCCCAAGGATGTCAGTCCAATGAGTGAGGCTGAAGCAGAAACCACAGAATAGCATCTGAACAGAGGGACATGTCAAGTAGAACTTCTTGACTTAAAATTATGAAAAAAGAACGGAGTGGAAACAAAGGCCATTACAATTAAGATACAAGGGCCATACTTGAAGTGGTTCCTTTTCTCTCAGGCAGTAACATTTGACACTGCCTTAAAGAATATTGCTCAGGAACAAAGGTGAAGGGTGTGGTTTATCAATACTATATTGATAAACCATTATGTGCTCTTGTTGTGCCCAGAATTCAGAACCCCAAAAGAACCCGCCAACAAGGAGATGACTCACCGAATGCAAGGACAAAGGTTTTTTTATTGACTCCAGGATATGAGCTGCAGCAAGGACCCCATTCGTTCGGAAACAAATGGAGTGCCTACTTTCGACTGAGGGGTGTTTTTATAAGGGAAGCCCCAAGATTACAGAACTTTGTGGTTACACAGGACAGGGCAATGGTTGTGTGCTTCAGGCAAGGTACAATTAGGCAGGATGCTGCAGAGGAGATGCCTTTGTTAATTATCTCCCGGGCTGGGGACTTCTAAAATTGATAACTATCTGATCCTCTTTGGATCAGAGGAATGTGGACACCATTCTAGGGTGTGATATCTGGCCTAAGGGCTTGAGTCTTGTGGACCTTTGTTTAACCTTGTCTGCTGAGCTGTCTTTTGGGAACTCAGAGCTTTCTTTTGAGGCTTTGGAGTCTAGGTTTTAGACCTTTATTAATTTTTCCCCTTTCACTCTTTGAACTCACTAAGAATCTGGCTCTGGAAGCAGAGTTGGCTCCCCTCCACTTCAGACCCAAACAGATATTTGTCAGCTGTCCTCCAAGGCCCCGTTATCTGGGGATGGGCGAGTGCTCCTAACTCTGTAACTGGGAGGGAGAGAACTGCAGAAAAGCACAAGAGTAAAGATGGCTAGAAGGTAAACCATACCCAACAGACCACTATTTTTTGTTTTTTGTATTTTTAAAAAAATCTGCAATGGACACAGGAAGTCTGAAGTTCAGCCCTGGGGAACTCAGCCACTGAGAACACTCAATCAGAACTCCAGCTGGATGCCTCAACTTCTCCAGTCAGTCTCTCCTGGGTGTTGTAAGGACTGAGTTGACGTTCCTCTGTCTGCCCTCCCAATCAGGCCATTGCAGTTGTCACAGCTGGATATTGTGAACGCTTGGCTTGATGGCATTTTGCTCTCTGTCTGATTCTTGTTCTTATTCTTTTACTTTTGCTATCTACTTATTAATCTTGTTCGTTCAAAATGGAAAGTACATGGATCATTCTCCAGATTGTAGAGAACAAAGGGTCAAGGGATAGAATCTTCTGTGTCAGGACTTCTGATAGGAAAAGTAGAGAGGTTGAGTTGATATGAATTCATTATTACTTATTTATTATTTGCTTGTTTTTGAGACAGTGACCCTGGCTGGTCTCAAATGTACCAAATAGACCAAGTTGGCCTCAAACTCACAGAGATCCATCTGCTTCTGCAGTTCAAATGCTGGGTTTAAAGGTGTGTGCCACCACCACATCAGATGTTTTTACTTTTGAAGACAGATCTCATAGAGCCCAGGCTTGCCTGGGAGCCCTGATCCCCTAGCTTCCACATCCCAAGAGCTGAAATTACAAACGTAAATCAAAATGCCCAGCTGGATAAGAATTCTTAAAAACTTTTAAAATTCATTTTTAAGTTTAGAATGTACCAAGTACAGAAGTTTTATATAGCTTTAGTTTAAAAAAATAAAAAGTAAATAAATAGCAATAGTGAAAAACAAGACGCCAGTTCAAGGTATGGCCCTTTGAACCTGTCAAATACAAGAAATTATACCGTTTATTAAAACACACACACAAATAAATTGAACTATGTCAATCTACAAAACAAAACTTTATTTAACAAAAGGATTCTTCATGGACCTAGCTCATGTTTATCAAAGATAAGCAAGGAGAAGGGTTATAGAGCCCAGGTAACTAGGGGAAACAGAGCAAGAAGCTGATCCTCCAGGAGCAATCCCTGTCCCCTGGCCGGGGTCCAACTGCTTCGAATGCCAAGAGATCCTTCCTCACCTGACTTCACGAATTGGAAAATCCTGTAACAGGACCCCCAGACCTTAACAAAACGGACTCCAAGATGGAAGTACCATTCAGGCTGTGAAATTCAGCACATAGACAACACTACCGACCAAAAATGAAAACAGAGGCCTAATTCATCTATGTTAATAGTTATGTGAAAGTCTCTAAATGTACTCACCTTGCTTTTGGCTACTGTAGTTCTGCTTCTAGCTAACTGTTCTTGTTAATTGAAGTATGTCAGCCCAGAACATGCTTTTTGTGCTTA